GAAGAGTGAGTTAATGTTGGAAGGCTTTGTTGAACAGATGAGTGTTCAAATATAGATGTAAACAGATATTTTACAGTAGTATTCATGTGTTAATAAGCCCGCTTTTCAAATACATTCAGTCAATTAAAGCTGAAAACATTTTCTAACAAATCTAAGTTGATAAGAAAAAAGCTCAATAACTTATTTTCACAACAAGCTTGAAATAGACCCTTCCTATTCCCTCTTGTTACAAGCAACCTGAGGCTTCTGTTGTAAGGAATGAGCTACCAACAAAATAATTGAAACCCTAGGTAGAGCTGTGATGTACGCTGATTAAGCATAATTTACTTACATTTGATTGATTTTGCCGACTTATAACTTCACTTATGACATCACCTCTAGTGAGGGGCCCAGCCCTTCGTACATTTGTCTGTATGTGGCCCTCGGTGAAAAAAGTTTGGACACCCCTGCTCTAGAGTGATAAGCTCAAATCTTGATAAATTGGCAAATGCCTCGCTCCTCATCTCTGCTTGAGGATAGCAGTTTGAGGCTACATTAGCCTCTACATAGCACCCAGGAATCTCTGAGCAAACTGTCAGCTGTCGAATTGTATTGTGGGTTATGTAGGTGTATGGTTTTGACAAAGAAGAAGAACGTGTGGAACAGCAGCAGAAAACTATTTTAAATGAGCGTTGTTGGGTCCGCGGAGAAGAAGATACCACTCACAGAGTAAATATTAATGTTCAACCAGCAGCTGCTTAACGTAGCATAGCCTAAAGACGGGAAGTAGCGAAAACTGCACATTAAAAACGACATGTTGATTAACTGATTCATTAGCTGTTGAGCAGGGCCTTGGCGCCTTGGCCTATGATTGAGAGAGTATAGACATGGTATGATATTACCTATACATAACACTATATTATTATAAGTTGGTGTCCTTGTTTGAGTTACTGTGAGTTTAACTGTTCAAATTAAACACTCGCAGTGTGAGTGAGCTCATCGTTCCATTTGCTAATTTCACAGCGTTGTGAGTGGCTGAGGTAACCCTTAATTTTGTTGCATTCTTTTGACACACACACACACACACACACACACACACACACACACACACACACACACACACACACACACACACACACACACACACACACACACACACACACACACACACTTCAGGTGCAGTGACCTGTTTCTGTGAGCCTGTCTAAGCGGGTCTGAATAGTCCTTCACGATGGCTGCACTCCAACATGCTGTAGATCAGCGGACCATTTTCAGAACACTGGCCACTCTCACAACAAGAGTGAGCTCATAGACCCATAAAACAAGGGTGTGGAGCTAATCTGTCCAAAAATTGAAAAAAAATTATATTTCTGAAAAGTGGAAACAGAGGTGGAGGGTGACAGTGAAAAACAAAGCAGAGGAAGAAAAGCAGTTGAGAAAGTCACTGAGAGATGACTAGAGGAAGTATGTTTTAAATGATAGTGTAAATGAAAGTATTGTTGACAGAGGACTATTTGTGTCCCATAAAGCTACAAATACCCCAGTGGATATATTTCATTTTAACGAGGAATTCCGCTGTGAGGAGCTTTGTATTTCCCTCACCAAGACAAACAGGCTCTCAGAATGAGGGTCTTTGGACCTTGTGGTGGGCCCACTGGGGGGATCCTGTGTCGGACCCAGAAGAACTCTTCACTGAGCCAAAGACGCAATACAATAAGACTCCGAGACGGTGAGCCAAAGCCACAGAACTGACTGACTGTCCCTGAAGTATTAGCGGAGGAGAAGACTTTTTGGAAAGTTATTTCCCGATTTGAGTGTTCACAATACAACTTCCATCAGTGACTCGGCTGGTTTCCATAATCCTACATATAAAGTTCAACTTAAGATAAGAATTACAGTCATTGCTGAGTAAACAGCAACTCCAAAAAGGTGACATCTGCATCAGTCACATCCTCTCATCATCATCGTCATCATCATCGTAGGTATCAGGGGAACACTCTCCTGTGTGTCTGTTTGCTCCATCAAGGCCTCCTCCCTGCCTCAGACCCCAGCCAACAATTCGCCCTTCGGGACCGTTCAAACACATCAAATCACACATCTTTCTTCTTAAACGTTGTGAAATCAAAAACCTCTCCAAGTTACACTCATTGTAACTGCCAAACAATGTTTGGGATCTTTCTCTTGCTAATTTTCTGCCGCGAGGAGAGACAGAAGACATGAAGGGTTGTTTTTTAAAATATATTAACAGCCAGGCACTTTCTATTTAACCTCTCACTTTAGAACTATTGATTGTCTACACCTTTGTCTGTCCAGGATGACATTCATACAATTCAGTGTTTTTAAAGAGGAATGCTCACCGTCAGCACTTACACTTTCATTTTGACCAAAGCTGGCCTGAGAAGTACCTGCTGCCAACTTACTTTGGCATCAAACGCTCCCAGAATGGGTGAGTGGGGAGAGGAGGAGTTGAAAGACAGGCTCTGGAAGGACTCTGGGCCCCCATATCATTTGTCAAGAAGTAATTCCATCACACCTGAACTAGTATTACCTTCTGGGCCTCTGAGTATTTTGCATATTGCTCTTTAACATGTATCTTTTCCTTCTGATTGACAGGTTGTTATGCAGGTTGCAAATTGGGTGGTTGGTTTGATTAAAAGGACATTTTGTAATTTCACATTCAAGGTTCAAGGTTCAAGGCTTGTATTGGTCATACGAACATTGCTACAGTGTAGTTATGACGATGAAAATCTTAGGTCATTGCTGCTACCTTGCATTTTAGTATTGATTAAAAGCAGAAAGATCTAAGTCTAAAACTTGATTAATGATCACTCTTACAAGGGAATAAAGTAATTGGGTATTCATTAAAAAATGTCAATTTTCATTTGCCTGTAACAGCGGATCCCAGTTTGTTTGCCTTGTGATCCCCTTAAAATGAAGCCGTGCTAACTGTGCACTGTGAAGAATGTGTAGGCTATATGTTATCACGTGTGAGACGAAGCATGTACTGTAACTGTGTCCCTTCAGGAGATCTATAAAAGCTGCTGTCAGCTGCATGCCATGGCGCCAGAGCAGGAAATGGAGGTCTTTGGTAAAGAACTGAGACTGAACTGAGTGAATTTGAGTGGGAAGACTGACTAAAGCTCTTTCCAGCACTGAAGCTCAACTCAACAATGCCCGACTCACAGCGCTGGCACACATGCTAACTGGAAAGGTAGTGTACTGTACACCTCTGGGAACAGAACGGAGCAGAATATAGCACGCTTCCCAAGCACTTAGGATAGCACAATCACAGTATTGCATTCACTCTATATGTGTTTTATTTAATGAGGTTTACTTAACAAACTGAATTTGAAACTTCAGAATGAGGATTTAAAACATTGGGTGAAAAGTGTTGAATGGTTAGATGTTCTGCCATCTGGACCACCTACATTTAATTACCTTCTACAGTTTGCCAGATGAATGCATTAATAATTCAAAACATTCCAAATGCACTACATTTTATCTGTTCGTAACAGTTTTATCTAAGTACATATTTTAAGGATATCGTTCCACTGAAGCATTAATCTAACTTTCAGAAACCTGTGTAACAAATTCCCCAGGAAACGCTATAAAAACACTCAATGCCAGACTCTAAATCCAGCCTAATTCATGTGGCGTTTAAGGTCCACGGTGCAGCTTTAGGGGCAGTGCTTATGGCCTCAACTACAGAATTACTGCAGTAATAACAGGAAGCTAACATTATTATTAGACACCATTACTGAATGCAGCGGTCCTGCTGCCATATTCTAATTGTGTGTATTACACACAATTATAGAATGACTATGGCATCACTCTGTCAAACAATGCTATTTTTGGGGGTTTGCAATTACTCAAAAAAGACATTACTTTAAATTACTTGAAAGTTTCTTATTATGATAAAACATTCCCCCCCCACCCCAAAAAAAGACTGGATGAAAATGTAGAACATAGGACTTCTTTGTCTCTGAACGGGCTCAGCAGATTGGCTGATGCTAAATTTGCCGCTGGATTCTTCGTATCTGACTCCAAAATCACTGGCTCCAAGCTTGCGCCTTTGCACCAATCATAAGCTTTCCCTTGCATTAACCTCTGGTTTGAATCGCTTTTCCAGTGATTGACAGATTACTTTTTTGGCAAATCTAACTATCCTGGGGTCCATAAAGTATAAATCTCGCCCAATCACAGAGTCGGGCCAAACTCCGCCCATGCCCAGCACAGCCTGAACAGGAAACCAGCTCCAGATGCAACCCCTGGAGGAAGGTGAGTGTTTCAGATGCAGCACAACGCGCTAACCAGAACCAGGCCTCACTTGCCTCGCTCACTGCCTGCACAAAGAACCTTTTTCTGGGCCCGCAGGCAGGGGGAGGGGACAGTTCTGGAGGTGGGGGTCCTTAAGGGACCATGAACAAAGTTGGCTATAGGTCAGTTGCTCTAGTCAACCTGGACAGGAGTAACCTTACATTAATGTCAGACAGTTCATCATTACCAAAGCAAGTAGGAAAAACTATTTTTGCATTCCTTTGGA